TTTTCGTTGAATCCCTTGATATTCTTTGACCTTTTGTTCTTCCAGATGAATTTTATTGTTTTTTTTCTGCTCTATAAAATAATTTTTTGGTAGCTTGATTGGTGTGACACTGAAAAAGTACATTAATTTAGGTCGAATTGTCATTTTTGTTATATTGACTCAGCCTACCCGTGAGCAATTAATATTTCTCCAGTTGTTTAGATCTGACTTTATTTGTATGAAAAGTGTTTTGTAATTGTGTTCATATAGTTCCTGGGTTTGTCTTGGCAGGTAGACTCCCCCAAACCCGCTACTTTTGAAGCTTCCCACCACATATTTATAAATTGTTAAGAAGGGTTTTTTTTAATGACATCAAACCTTGCAACTTTCATCCATATTGCTCTTGGTTTTCTTCTTTGGGGCTAAACGAGCAAGTCAATTATTACCTTGGATTTTTTTGGGGGGGTCTTAATCTGGGGTCTATGAATTTTTTTTTGGTTAGGCGATGGGGTGAAGTGACTTGCCCGGGGTTACACAGTTAGTAAGTGTCAAGTGTCTGAGGCCAGATTTGAACTCGGGTCTTCCTGAATCCAGGCTGGTGCTCTATCCACTGTGCCATCTAGCTGCCCCCTCTGAATTTATTTTTAAAAAACATTTTGATAGCTATATTTCATTATGGTTGGTTTATTTTTGGAATCCTGTGTATTTTATTTTGTGCATTTAAAAACACTATTCATGAGAAAGGATCCATAGGCGTCATCAGACTGCCAAAGTGATCTGTTATGCCTGAGAACAGTCCTCCCTTCCCTGCACAGGGGAAAGGGAAAAATGTGAAGTGTTGGAAACAGCAGTGGAGGGTGGGGTGGGGGTGGCCTATGGGAAACTCTGAGCCTGGAGCAAATAACGTGGTGGGAAGAAGGTGATCTGGTGGTTTTGGATATCTGTGTGTGTAGTGAGGTCAGACAATAGAGCCTTTCTGTATTTGTCCCTAGGACTGTAAGGACGGCACTGCCAACTGTATTGTTTACAGCTGTCCACTCTACAGCTTTGACCGGGAGGCTGTGCTCCATGTCTGGGGCCGCCTATGGAACAGCACTTTCCTGGAGGTAAAGGGTACTGGGTGTCAAGGGTACCCGAGCTTCCCCTCTCTCTGTGGCATCTTTGAACCTCCCAAGTTGTTTGGTACTTCTGCACCTCTGGGCCTGCCTTCTCTGCCTTCCTCATCTCAGCCCCAAACACTGTTACAGCTCAGGATAAGAGCAGGGGTAGGAACAGGTGACCTTAGAGCAGCAAAGCTACTTTCCTCTACCAGAGGCTACCTCATTTTTTCCTGCTCTGTTAGAAACTCAGACAGTTGTTTTCACTGGGCTGGCTTTCACTTGAACTGTGGATTAATTTAAAGACCTCTGAAACCTTGGAAAACTGTTTATTTTTCGTCTGTGCACATCCTACCTTGAACATAGTAGGTATTTTAATAACTACCATTGTTGAATTGTATGGAACTTCTGGGAGATTAGGAGATGGGACCCTAGAGAGGCATGGGAGTTTAGATACAGTGTGTGTGTGTGTGTGTGTGTGTGTGTGTGTATGTGTGTGTGTGTGTGTGTGTGTGTGTAGGGAGAGGTGTCATTGGACTCTGTCCTCTCTGTCCTCCAATTCCAGGAATACACAGAAGTGAAGTCCCTGGATCTGATTGTCCGAGCCAATATCACTGTCAAGTCATCTGTACAGAATCTGAAGTTCAGAGATTTCTCTACAGAGGTGATGCCCAGGGCTTGGAAGTGGGAGGAGAACAGTTTCTTGCTTCCTGTCTTTACCTCTCCCCTTCTTCCCCCTGCCATTTGGTTAACTGTTCTCTTTGCAGATCCCTGTGGCTGTGTACCTAGACCCCATGGCTGTGGTGGCTGGCGGGGTCCCTTGGTGGGTCATCTTCCTGGCTGTGCTGGCTGGCATCCTGGTGCTGGCTCTGCTGGTTCTTCTCATGTGGAAGGTGAGAATGAGGCTGGGGACAGGTCAGCAAGCCTGGTGGCCCTGATGGGCTCCCAGACCCCGGGGAAGTCTGAGGGTACTTAGAAACACATGAGGCACACATGGAAAATGAGCTTAGAACTCCCCCCCCCGCCCCCCCGCCCAGTCAAGGGACGGACAGAGAATCCTCTGTAGGAGGGACTGAACACAGAATCACACGTATGAAGGTAAAAGAGACACACATGTTGATGAAGACTCATGCCTGTCTGACCTCATCCACACTAAAGCTCTGATGGGCTTTTGGAATGGTCTGGAACTTTTTGGAGAAGATAAAACTTGTCTGATGAGGGTGACCCCTCATAAAGTCAACCCTGGGACTTCTACCCCCTGTTCCCATTGAAACTTGCAGGAATCCTATGGAACTATGTGACTCTCTCAGACAAACAGAATATTCCAGGGATTCTAGAAATGCCAGCCCCCTTGCTCCCTCCATCCCCCTCCCCACCCTTGGACCTTCCCATCCCTTTTCTCTCTTGACCCTCTCCTCCTCCAATACTCCAGTGTGGTTTCTTTCATCGGAGCAGCCAAGGCCTGTACTTTACCACCAATTATCACCAGGCCCATCTGGCTGTGCAGCCTTCAGCCGCAGACCAAGGGGGCCCAGGCACTGTGGGGTAATAGAACTTTGTGTGTATGTGTGCACATATCCCTGGGGGGAGGGCGGTCCCTTCAGCATTCAGGGGCCACGAGTGTGCAAAGGGAAACGAGGAGGCAGGAGTGTGTGTGTGAGCCTGCAAGAGTTGGGAGGGAAGGACCTTGCCTGAGTGTGGAAGGGTGAGTATATACAGCTTTGGGGATGGTGGAATAAGTGTGCATAAACCTGGAAAGTGTGAGCATGTGGGAGATTTGGGAGATAACATGCATGTATGTTCCAGGAGGCATGAGTGTATAGGGGTGAGTGTGAGCTAGCCTGTGGAGGGGTGGCACAGGATTGTGGGAGTTTGAGCATGTGGTTTGGTCCCCAGCTGCTGTATACAAGGGTCACGATTCTGGTTAGTCTCAGGATTCTCTGTCCCATTTGCAAGTCTGAGAACGTGTAGGGTCTACAAATGTGCTGCATATAAGCCCACGTGGTATGGTGTAGTGGGCAGTGTTAGGCTTGGAGTCAGGAGGTCTAGTTTTAAGACCAGTGTGACCACTGTATCTTTTTGAGTCTCAACCTCTCCATCTGTAAAATGCGGGTACAAGATTGACACTCCCTTCTTCATTGGCTAGTGGAGAGAAAATAACCTTGTAACCTTAATGTGCTATAGAAGTATGAGTGTACCAGCGAGCCTGAAAAGGGGTCCAGTGGAGCCATTCAGGCACATGTAAGGGGCCCAAGTGCAGGTATAATGGGCCAGCCTCAGTAGGAGGCATAGAGGGGTAAGTATACAAGTGATGGGAAATTCCTGAGTGGGACACCCCAGCCGGAGAAGTAGACAGGAGTCAGTCTGTGTGAGAAATAGCCTCAGCCACTGGCAGAGGAAAGAGGATCATGATGTCTTACCATGGGGCCCCTGGTGTCGAGGAAGGTGAGAATTCTAATTATTATAATAACTAGCATTTATACAGCACTTTAAGGTTTGTAAAACGCCTTACAAATATTCTCTCGTTTTATCCATAATAACAATCCTGGGAGGTAGGTGCTATTATCATCCCCATTTTACAGATGGAAAAATAGGCAAATAGAGGCGAAGTAGCTTGTCCAGGGTCACACATAGTTAGTGTCTGAGGCTGAATTTGAACTCTCATCTTCCTGACTCTAGGCCTAGAGCTCTGTGCACTCAGCTACTTAGCTTCCTATGGCTATAGCACAGGAACTTCCCTAACCTCACCTTTCTTTCTCTATCTCTGGCTCCTCACCCTAATCTCAGATCCCTTTGACCCATGGAGAAGGAAGAACTCTGAGAGAATGCTTCCTTGGCCCATGTATACTCAGACCAGACAGTACTTATATCTGTTTTGCCAGTTAATATTTGTGGGCCTGTATTGATTGTGGTCTGTCCTCTCTTGCTCCTGCTATAATTGAAACACGTGTACCTTTCCTCTGCCCTGAGGAAGGAGAGGGGGTGCTGCCCACTGGAGCAGGGTGTCTATGCCCCTGGGGCCATGGTTTTTCTAACCTTTTACTTCTGGGGATCTTCCTTTAGGTGGGATTCTTCAAGCGGGCACGGTACCCCGAGGCCACAGTACCCCAATACCACGCGGTAAAGATACCCCGTGAGGACCGGCAGCAATTCAAGGAGGAGAAGACAGGAACCATCTTGAGGAACAACTGGGGCAGCCCCCGGAGAGAGAGTACTGATGGACATCCTATCCTGGGTCCTGATGGACACTCGGAACTGAGAACCAGTGGACATCCGGACCTGGGAAGTGCCTAGCTCAGCTCTTCACTTCTCCCTGGCATGGCTCTGCCACTTACCTTCTCTCTGATCCTAAAGCCAGTCTGCCTCCCTCCATCTTCCTAGAGATGCCTCCTTAACGTGGGGAGTATGGATGCAGAGAGAGTGGTTGTCCACAGAGCAGGCTTACCCAAGGGGTCCAGGATCACTGACTCTCCCCCTGCCTTGCTGATCTCTCTCCCTTCTCTCCCTTCATCATCCTATCCTCCTTGGTTCTGGGAACTTATGGAGGCAGTATCCAGGAGAGAGGAAGCAGGACCACCTTGTCAAGGATATCTTGACTTAGATGGGGAGAGAGAAAGAATCATGGTTCTCTTTACTTCTGATAATTCTTGAAAAACCAAATCCCTAGTGCCTCCCTGGAAGTGCCTTAGCCCTAGTAGGAAGGAGGGGGAGAGGCTGCCTCTGGGACTCACCCCTAAACCCTAGATCCCACTTTTCTGGGCTGTCTCAGTGGCTTTTGTCTATTTATTAAAAAATATTTAAGTACCATACAAAGGGCCCCCTTTACTTGCCCCATGCCCCCCGATATTGTTGGCCTAGTTCTTTGCTCCTATATTTTCCACATCACCCTGGGTGTGGGGTGGAATTGACAGATCAATCCAGCGATTTCTGGACACAGGCTTTATTAGGGAGATAGGGGAGAGATGACATGAGTAAGGTTGGGGCTGGGGAGAGGAGAGGAAATCTGGGTGGGAGGAAGGAAGATTGAAATAGCAGCCTGGAGAGAGGAGAGGAAGATGAAAGAGAGGAGAGAGAGGGGAGAGAAGAAGAAAGGAGAGAGATATGTATAGATAGGTCTACACTTCATTATAGGGATCAGTTCCTGAAGAACTGATCAGATGAAGAGGCGCAGAGGTCTTGAGGTCGAGCCGCAGGAGGGATTATTGGGAGGGGGTGTTGAAGAGGACCAGGGGGCTTGGTGAGATAGCAGCAGAGAGGGAAGGAGAAGTGAGGAGGCCCAGTTAAGGAAGGAGAAACGGGAAGTGAGCATAGAGAATGAAAGGTCATGGCATCTCCTTCTGTGGGGTCCTCTCTGTAAGACAGAGAACAGGCCAGGTGGGCAAAGAGAGGCACAGAATAATCCAGTTGGTCGCTTGGTGCCCTAAGATCATTTCACAGCCAGTCCCATGATGTGGGGACCAATCGGTAGCCACTTGGTGGGAGGGGGTTGCCATTCTAGTTGTAGTTCAGAAAACTTGGCTCTCTCCAGCTCTTTCCAGGTCTCCCTGGTGAGATAGCAGCCATCGCCAATGTGCTTCCAAGTGGGCTCGGCCACCTGCTGCCACATCAAGGCCCAACTTCCAGGGGGCTCAGCCACATGTTCCCAAAAAAAGAAGATGCCTCCCTTTGTCAGGGAGGGGAATAGTTACAAAGTCACTCAGGGGTGGGCCTTTTTCAACTCCTCCACCCCCCCAACCCCAGGTGTTTTTTAAAATGAGGACTATAACCTTTGGGAAAGATAGGGTAGAGTCAGAGACTTTTTTTCCCTTTAGTCCTTTCTAGTCCTCCTCCTCCTCCACCCACCTCCCTCCCCTGAGTCAAAGTCCTTGCTCCTTGTAATTCACAAATATTTGAATGGTAGGTATATCTGCGGACATAGTGGGAAGGCCCCTGCCTCTGCCCAGCCAGAGGTCTTAGTTTGTAATCTTGGTTCTGCCATGAATTCGCTTGAGTAAATTTCTTAACCACTTGGTGTCTTAGTTTTTTCATCCAAGAATTCTGATTCTTCAAATATTTACTAAGTGCCTACCACGTACAAGGTACTGTAGTGGTAGGAGCCAATGAAAACAACCCCATACAATACGTTCGCAGATGAGCAAATACAAGACAGAGGGTGAAGGAATAAAGGGAGAGATCTGACAAAGAGTTCTATGAAAATCTGAGGAGGAAGAGAGCATCAGGAATTGGGGGGAACCAGAGGAGACCATGGAAATGGCAGCCCATGACCTAAGTGCCTTAACATTCTCAAAGAATGATAAGGATTTGGAAGAGGAGGAGGAGGGAATAAGGTCAAGCATGATGGGGGAGGGAGGGGTCAGTTTGTGGAGGTTATCGGGCTGGAGATGGTGTGTTGAGTTTGGTAGAATAGCTGGGATAATGGTTCAACCTCATCTGGTGTATTGTGTTTGGTTCAGATCTCCACATTTTAGGAAGGATTCAAAACCTTGTCAATTGAAGAAACTGGGCTGTAGGGATGCTTAACCTGCAGAAGATACTTGTGGGGTGTGGGTAGGAGGTGACATAGCTGTTTTCAAATATTTGAAGGGCCATCTTGCCTAAGATGCATTAGAGAGGTAGAAATGCACGGGAGACAGACTGCTAGGGTTGGGGTCAGGATATTTTGATTCAAATTATTGTTATTCAGTCGTTTTTCAGTCATGTCTGACTCTTTGTGCCCCCATTTGGGGTTTTCTTGGCAAATATACTGGAGTGGTTTGCCATTTCCTTATCTAGCTCATTTGACAGACTAGGAAACTGAAGCAAACAGGGTTAAGTGACTTGCCCAGGGACACAGAACCAGTAAGTGTCTGGGGCCAGATTTGAACTTGGGAAGATGAGTCTTCCTGACTCCAGGCCTAGCACTCTATGTGCTGCACCACCTCCTGGGTTCAAATACCTGGGTTCAAAGCCTCAGAAATTTATTAGTTTGTGTGAAGGTGGACAAGACACTTCTCAGGACTTAATTTTCCTTATCTGTAAAAGAGGAATCAAAATGTTTATACTATCTCCTCACAGGGGTGGTTGTGAGGAGTAGACTTTGCAAACCTCACAATGATATATGAACACGAGATTAATATTATTAGGCTTAATTTGTGTGACTTCAGAAGACCAAACTAATAGGTGAAAATAGGTGAAAGTTATGGAAAGGTTCTATATAAGGAAAAACTTGCTAATCCCCAGAACTCTCCCCAGATATTTGGACTTTCTTGTGAGTTACTGAGTTGCTCATCCCCGGAAGTAGAAACTGTATGAATACTTGTTGAGGATATTTTAAAGTTATTTGTGCCTTGGATGGGGAGGGGGTGTGTGGTCATTTCCTCAAAATGTCATGTTTAATGAACACCTGAGGAACCAGGATTGGTAGAAATCCTGAAACACTCAGGTCCCTTTTAACACTGAGATTTTGTGATTATAACATCCACCCTACCCTCTTTGCAGGCTGTCGGGAAGGTCAAATAAGCTCATAATTCAGAAAGTACTTTGGCAGATTAAGAGTTATGCAAATGCGAGAGCTTATGACAGAGGGGCCAAGTTTTTAATTATAGTTAAGTTTATTGAGGTACTATTTCTTCCACACAGACCCTTGGGGCAGATGTTCTTTTTCTTTCCTCTGCCCCCATCTCCCCCTTTAGTTCAGTGACAATCCCTTCAGTTCTGTGGGAGTCTGGTACCTGGGACCCACATTATATTCCTCTAATTCCTCAGGGGCTTACCAGGATATGAAAAGAACTCAGGACCTAGAGTCAGGAGACCTGTGTTTGAGTGTTGACTCAAACCCGTTCAGTAACACAGTTACCTGTGTAACTGAACAAATCACTCTCTCTGAAACTCAGTTTCCTTGTCTGTAAAAAGGGCATCACTGTACTTGTAAATCTATTTTGTGGGCTTGTGTGGAAAACACTGAAAACCTTAAAACTCTTTTTAAATATGAGCTATTATTATTATTATTATTTTATTATGCAAGTCACTTTGATTCTCAGTCTATAAAATGAGAGGATTGACTCACTCATCAATAAGGTATTTTTCAACTCTAAATCTTTCATCTTATGATGATACTCAGAGTGACACCCAGTCCTTCTCAGCAGTGAAGCCGTTTGGTCCCCTTGTAATTGGGATTTGGACTATTGGGGCTGGGAAGAGGAGGTTGTAGGAACCCTTGATGGGCGGTGGGGATTGTCGTAGGATGAAAGGTTTCCTTTTGTTCAGGCTTACCCCATCCTTTGTTCCAGCTGACCTAATGAGAGACAGTGAGTAGCCTGGCTTGACCAGGAGTAAGTCACTTAATCTCTCTATATCGGCTTCCCCTTCTGTAAAACGAGGGAGTTGGATCTGAGGACATGTAAGCTCTTATGCCCTAAGCACACCGGACTGTGTGCCCCATCCCCATTATTTTCTAAGAGTTGATATCAGGACATCCAACCTAGTCTTTAGGGCCTTACCTCACCACTCCTGGAAAATTGTATTCAAATAAATATTTTGGGTTTTTCAAAACACCAAGTAAGGACCTCCTCCCTGACCTTTGTAGTTTCTGGTCCCCAAAGCACAAGGATCTCATGATAGCACAGGACTGGGTAACTACCCTGCTTCCTTCAAGATGGCCTTGCTCCTCTGATTCCATTATCTCTAGAAATAAGGACTTTGTTATCATTGACCTAATTTCCCTGCACCTCTGCAGTCTCAGGGCCTTTTCTCATCACTCACTTCATGGCCCTCACACCCATGCCCGTAGCCATCTTACTCACCGGCCTTAGCACCCTCTGGACTTCCTGTAGGACCTTCTTTGGGCTCTGGACTGTGCACAGGACCAGGGTGCAGACCACCACATCCATGGATTCATCAGCCACTTGCCTCATGTCCTCTCCTGGAGCCACTAGAAACTCTTCATATTGAAGGTGCTTGTTTTTGGTCATACTCTCCATCAGGAACTTCTTAAAGTGGGGGTTGGGATCTATGCAGGTGACCCTGCAGCCGGCTGGGTAGAACTCAAAGTTGGCACCCGTGCCGCAGCCGAGTTCTAGCAAAGTCACCTTCCTAGAGGCTCCAGCCAACTTCTTTATCTGGCTAAAGAGTTCCCGTTTCTTACCCCCTATCTTCTGGTTGGCCCTGGGAGTCAGCGTCGCCATGAAATAGGGAAAGTACTTACTCCATATAGGTTGCCAGTAGCCGAATAGGGCAAGCAGGTGAAGGGGCAGAGTCAGAATACACAGGACCGTCTGGAGAACAAAAATCAGGATACCCATAGTGGGGTCCTGTGTGAGCTCTCTGTTGCTCTGTGAGTAGATTTCTTCTTTCAGCCTGGCACTATTTAAACTCCTAAACTCTTGTCTCTATTTCCACTATAATGTTTGTTTATGGTTTGAACTTTACTCTCTGTTTACAGGGCCTCATTCCCTAAACAACAGAACTAAATGGACCATGGGAGTGAGATGGGGAAAGAGGTGGAGTTTAGTTGGAATTCTTCCAGAAGGCAATAGGCTCCCCTCCTTCCCCCCCCTTTTTAAAAAAATAATACTTTTCCACATTGGGGGAAGGGGGCCTGGTCTGAGGCCTTGAACACTGTTCAGTGGCCTGATGTTGTACAGATATTTAGAATCAAGGGCGTGCTGGAATCAGCTCACACTGGTTCATGACAACCAATTGTTAAAATTTCAGTAAAAATTCAGTAAAAATTCATTATGGAGTAGCTAGGTAGTACAGTGAATAGAATGCTGAGCCTTGAATCAGGAAGACCTGAGTTCAAATCTGGCCTCAGACATTTCCTAGCTAGGTGACCCTGGGCAAGTCACTTAACCTTATTTGCCTCAGTTTCCTCATCTGTCAAATGATCTGGAGAAGAAAATGGCAAACCACTCCAGGATCTTTACCAAGAAAACCCCTAACGGGTCTTAAAGAGTCGAACACAACTAAAACAACACAACAACAATGGGGGGATTTGTTTTGCTGTTTGTTATAAAGCTTTTCTTTTTTCAGGGGTTAGTGGGAGCTGGGAGGGAGAAAAAATGAGTGATTCTTAATTGAAGAAAATAATTTTAAAAAGTACTTAGGTGTAGAGCAAATAGAAGTGGTTGAACAACCTTGATCAATCCATCACTCCTATATGTTCTCTCTTTCACATTTCTCTTCTTTCTTTCATCATTCTGATTCAGACTTCTGTAGAGGAGTTGACAGTGTTTGGGAGACAAGCAGAAGTAGCATCAGTGACGAGCTTGGTGAGGAATGTTACAGCAGCCAGAGGCTGACCTGTGAGTGAGAGCAGGGAGAGCAGATGATGCAGCAAGGAGGGAGAGGAGGGAATAAGCATTTATCTAGCACCTACTATGTACCAGGCACTTATTAAGTGCTTTACAAATATTAAGGTATTTGATTAGCACAACCAGAATTGCCCAAGATTGGCTAAGGACTCACAGATATTACATATCTTATAGATGTACATATTTTATTGATGAACTAGGAATGGGGGATTTCATCTTTCTTCTTTTTCTTTAATCTGGGAACCTAAAATGGTGGAGTGAATATCTCTCCAATCTTTCTTCTTTATGAGCCAGGTATGAATGAAGGGGGAATTTTCCATCCACACCAAAGATCTTAAAAGGACAGAGTGTGAAAAGAAGAATTTATATTGTCTTTTGCATTTCAATTCCTTTTATTAAAAACAATGTGGTCACAACATCCTAAGTGTCTAAGTCTATGGGTGATGAGAGAAGAGAGCTGAGAGAGTGAACTATCATTAAGGGTTGGAGACAATGAGCCTCAACTGCAAATAGCAGATGTCATATTTTAATATTTAATCAACATTTCATCTCTTAGATTACAGTGGAACCTGGGAATGGGGGTGGGGTGGGAATGCCAGGGAGATGCCATGTTGTGAATGAGGAAAGTCTTCCGGGCTTGTTCAGGTTTTTAGCCTGCCAGCAAGTGTTGTGAGCCAACAAGACTGTTGTAAGCATGGCAGGCCTAGGGGAACAGTTTGAGGAGAGTTCCACTTTGGTGAATTACTCAGCTATTGCATTCTGAGATAATTCAAACCTGTTAGCTTTTTTTTTTAAAGCCTATGTTAACAGCAAATATGAGCCAATACTTCAACAGAATACAACATCACAGGCATTTACTATTCTTGTGTCTATGAGTTTACCTCATATAACAATGTCATATATGGGAACTAACTAGTAGTAGTTACTAGTAGTAACGAGGTCACACTAGGGAACCATGGGGGGCAATACAAAATAACGTCCAGAAGCATAGAACTGTTTTTGTTACAAAGTCAAATCTTTAGTTATTAGTCTTTTGTTAAACCCTGGTGGCCCTATTTCTATAGCCCATTCTTGCCTCTGACCCTTTATTTGTGGATTAGTAGTCTGTCACACTCCTTGGGTGTACCTATGGTTGGTACTTAGATGAAGCTTATTTTCTTTGTCTCGCGTTATTGCCTTAGTCTAAGAGGGACTCACTACATTTTTTGCTATGCATCTTGGCTATTTTCATCCTTGAAAGCCAGTTCTTCAACTGGCTCAGTACTCAGAACCCATGGTTTAATTTTTAATTGAGGAGATTTTAACTTATCAAATTTCGCTTCCATTCTCTCCCCACCATGGAAAATTGAAGTAATTAAAACTAGATGGGTCTAATGTCCATTTCACACTCGTGCTAGCCTAGGTGTGCTGGGTGGTTTACCTATGTTCTCATTTGTAGAGTGATTCCTCTCCACGGGCACCCCCTACCCGTACTTAGTAGTTCATCTATAGCCTAGTCTTGAAAGTTTTATAACACAGTACTTTAGATCTATTCTTTAAACCTAAAGCTGCTTTATCCTATGAGATTCTTTTCCACATTTCCCTATTCATTTTCTGTAGGGGATCTACCCAAAACATTGGAAGCTTTCCTATCCTCAGAGGCAGCTAATTGGTGCAGTGGATAGAGTGCTAGGTCTGGAAGTCAGAAAGACTTGAGTTCAAATCTAACTCCACACTAGTCTTACTGACGTTGTGACCTTGGGCAAGTCACTTAACCTCTGTTCGCCTTTTGCCTCAGTTTCCTCAACTGCAACATGAGGATAATAACAGTACCTACCTGAAAGGTTTGCTGTGAGGATCAAATGAGATAATATTTGTAAAGCTCTCGGCATTCCCCCACAATGCATTTTTCCATGGCCTTTTGAGTCAATTCCAATTTTTTTTTTTCTCTAAGATGATTTCCATGGTTTGGATCATATAACATCACTAGAGAAATAAAGGTGTTTGCAGTAGGAAAATGTTTGCAATCACTGAAAGCACTGCATAATTATATGGGTGCCATTTATTGTCTATGCAGTGTGTAAATCTAAAAAATGCATATTGATTGACTCATATGATGGGCTACCCATCCAATTGTATGCCACAATCTAGGCCATATCCTTTCTTCTTCCCCTTGGTAGTACTTATGTGGATGCCTAGGCAGTTCTCTTTTGAGTTATCATATAGTGTTCTGGGGTTTGATGTAATCATAGAAATGTTATCCATAAATAGAAGCATCTAGAGAAACTCATCATATATGGAAGATCCATTTTTCAAGTGGATTTTGCACAGGACATCTTCCATGATGCTGGTGAACACCTGGTGTACTCCTATACTCATGTGTCTATATGTTTCCATATTTTATTACCAGCTTGATCTCAATTCTCAGAGACAAAATTGTCTTTGTGTTTGCAGCTATCATGAACTCTTGTATGATCTCATTGTGGACTTGGAAAACAAGTAGTTTGAAAGACCTAAAGACTGAATTTTTCTCCATTCAATCAAATGCTTTTTTGGGGCAATCTACAAACAGTAATCACAGAAAAATTTTATATTCTTTATGACTTAATCAACAGTGTCACTGTGAAGTTGTAGTTTGCCGTAGAAAACTTGGCAATTGGTGTTTTTCATGGTTTCATCAATGATTTTCTCTATCCGTAGATATGCCATTCTAGCAAAGATGTTTTTAAATGCTAGTACTTTTTTCTTTCCCTAAACACAAAAGAAAAAAATAGTTGTTTTTTTTTGGCTAGGCAATGGCGTTAAGTGACTTACCCAGGGTCGCACAGCTAGTAAGTATCCAGTGTCTGAGGCCAGATTTGAACTCAGGTTCTCCTGGCTCCAGGGCCAGTGCTCTATTCACTGCACCCACCTAGCTGCCCTTAAGAAAAAATAGTTTCACTTGAGAAGAATGCATGCTAGAATACTTGGAAAACATAAGCTCTCCCTATCAGTCCCTTTTATTTTAGATATAATTGGTAACCAGCAGGTATTGCTAACACTTTGACTACCCACCATCTAGTGTAAAGAAGATTCTTCAGTGATGATTTAAGAGACATTTCCCATAATGCTTGGTATGTGTGTGGAACCAGTAGCATGGTGATATCACCAAGCAAGAATTCTGATTGGCAAGGAGGCTCTGTTGTTCAGTCATTTTTCAGTTGTGTCTGACTCTCTGTGACCCCATTTGGGGTTTTCTTGGCAAAGATACTAGAGTGGTTTACCATTTCCTTCTCCAGCTTGTTTTACAGATGAGGAAACTGAAGCAAATAGAATTAAGTGATGTGCTCAGGGTCACATAGCTAGGAAGTGTCTGAGGCTGGATTTGAACTCAGGAAAATGAGTCTTCCTGGCTCCAGGCCCAGCACTCTATCCACTGTCCCACATAGCTGCCCAAGGAAGCTCTAGAAGGTGGGACATTGAAAATGGGTATTTTTGAGACCTGAGAGGTAGACTATAGCAATATGTAGAGCTGTGGTCTTGGGAGAAAGTAAGAGTGGATGAGAATATGGGGCAATGGGCATGGTCTCCTAGACCCTGGAAACCCAAATCCATTGGATCATGATGATGACTATGATGACAGCTGTCAGCTGCTCTTCATTTTGTCCTTTAGGTCTCCTGAGAAAGACACCAGAGGCAGCCTGCAGCCATATGCTGGGTTTACCCACTGGACTATGATTGCAGAATGACTAGGTCCCACTTCCTGACCTATCTATCTACCTATCTACCTATCTATGTGTGTGTGTAAGCATATATAGTCATATATTACGTACTGAAGAGGAATTAGATTTAAAAAAAATAATTTTCTTATTAAGTTTTTTATTCTTATAATTTCTCCCAAATCATTCTATCTCCTCCTCCCAGAGAGCTAGACCATGTAACAAATATATTTTTTAAAAGACTAAAGGGGAGGAAAAATCAGCATAATTTATCAATAACTTGAAAAAGTCTGAAAATATATGCAATATACCATGCTTGTGGACCTCCTACTTCTTCAAAGGAGTGGGTTTGGGCTGTCTTCTCATATCGATTCTTTCAAGCATTATTGTTTTCTATAATTTGAAGCATTCACTTTTGATTTTGTGTGTGTGTGTGT